AATTCAAAAGACTGAATTTGTGAAGACTGACATTTCAGAAACTATGTGAGGTTATGGGGCCCACTGTCTAAGCAGTTCACTCTGACTAGGCCCAGCCCTAGCATAGGGAACCTGGTCTCAAAGCCTAATTGTTTTCTTAGGTGTAGAATCATAGACATTTTGGGTTTTGTGGGACCTTGACTCATTAACAGAGCCAACTACAGGCAGAATTGCTAACTAGGAAGTATATAGCACCTTAAAAACTATTTTTATTTTGATTTTTTAAAAGGAAATTCGTTTGAAGTGTATCACAAAGTGAAATGGGTTGATGGATAAGGAATATATGTATTAAAGCAAAATGGAGCAAAATGTTAACAATTTGGGAGTTAACAATAGGGAACATGTTATGAGTGCTTGCCATTACAACTCTTTCCACTTTTCTGTATGCCTCATGTTTTTCATAATAAAATGTTAGTGAAAAAAAAGAAAATTGAGAGGTAGGTGCTTAATGTAATGGGATGACTGATAGAATGTTGAGCGTTATCAGCATGAGTGCGTAGAACATCCATAAAGAAGGATCATCTCATTGCCACTCAAATCATGTGATATTTTGGTAACAGGTAGTTTAGCCAACTAAAAATATTCCTTACGATCTTAACCAGCCCTGCAAAAACAAGACTATTATGATGTCAGAAAATTTTTAAGTTCTGGAAGGGATCACTCTAGACCCACAGATAAGGAACGGGCCCCTTCTGTTTCTAACGCAGAAAGGGCTGTTACAACAGCCCCATTCAAAAATGGACAAAGGATTTGACTAAATAGTTCCCTAAAGAAGATACACAAATGGCCAAGAAATGTGAAGAGATGCTCAACATCATTAGCCATCAGAGAAACGCAGATCCACATCACAGTGAGATACCACTTCACATCCACTAGGATGACCAAAGTCAAAAAGGCACATAATAACAGGTGTCGGTGAGGATGTAGAGAAATGAGCCCCCTGTTGCTGGTGGGAACGTACGCTGGCACAGCCACTTAGGCAGGCAATCTGTAGCGCCACCGTGTAACCTGGCAATTCCACTCCTAGGTATATACCCCTAAGGCCACTAAACATGTGTCCCCACACACACTTGGACACAAGTGTACAACAGCACTATTACAGTAGCCAAGAAGCAGAAACAACCCAAACATCCATCAGCAGTTGAGTTGGTAAATAAAACGTTGTCTATCCACACGATGGAATATCTTCAATAACTAAAAGGAATGAAGCACTGACCCATGGTACAACATAGATGAACTTTAGAAACATGCTAAGCAAAATTGTATGGTACGTGAATTAAATCTCAATAACACCGTAATGCAAAAGAAATAGAGAAGGAAAAGACACAAAGGTTAATAAATAAGACAGAAAGCAGGAGGGAAGTAAGAGAACTTGTCCAAAGTAAAAGGATTGGTATAGAGCTGAGCCACAAGGGATCCGTCCTCCACTTCTGACCTCTTGCCACTGTGTCGTCTGTTCTAATCTCTCCAGATACCTGAGATTCAGTTCTTGCTTCCTTTTTTCTTTCCTCCCTTCTTTTCTTCCATTTCCCTTTTCTTCCTTATTCTTTCCTTTCCTTTTCCCTTCTTTTATCCTTTCCATTTTTCTCCTTTCCTTCCTTCATCTCCTATCCTTTCCTCTCTTTCTTCTTTCTACTTTCTCTTTCAATAAAAGTACATTAATGATGGTGTAGAATCTCTACAGGGAACCAATCACAGTGTGGGGCTGGGTTGTTCAGAACCTTTAATGAGTGAATGTGCATGCGTCTAACTCTTCAGGAGGCAAGTACAGGGTTGGATCCCCACCCTCCCCCCTCCCCTGGCATTTAGCAGTGGGGTCCTTATTGTGAAAAGTGAAAACTTGCTGGGGATTCCCTCCTGGCACCGTGTCCCAGGGAACAGTGACCTAAAGAGATGCACAGCTAGTGCTTATTCCAGTCCACCCAACTGACTTTATTGGCTTTTTTCCTCAGGGTACAAGTTCTGCTCTCATTATCCCTTTACATTTTCTCCCACTGAAATTTTTCAGCTCTCCTTAAGGCGGCAGCAAGTGAGTGAGAGATTGAATGAATGGGCTGTCTTCAGTGAAAAGAACAAGGAGCTTTGCGAATGGCTGACCCAGATGGAAAGCAAAGTTTCTCAAAATGGAGACATTCTCATTGAAGAAATGATAGAGAAACTCAAGAAGGTACAGGATGCATGGCTACATATGTTTTCACTCTTTGTGACGCTTAGGCATACTTTTAGTAGGTATAAAAAGATGGTCTTACTCATTATGAAATTACTTTCCTGTAAAAGGAGCACTATATTTTAAACGTTTGATCTTTTTAATATGAAATCAACTTGCATGGAAAGGCCTCTTTTACATACAAAATATATGGATGTGATGAAGTTAATTATCTGCTGGTAGACAAATGTTCAGGATTTTTTGGCTTTAGCTACCTGTTCAGAAGGAATCATTTATGTATATTGCTTTTGTGGTTTTGTTTTTGTTTTTAAAGAGGTAAAATCACTTGAGAGAAACCAAAAGAAAAAATTCTTAGGATTAGTTAAACTGGCATTTTCTCTATAAAACATAATTCATAGACAGTTACAAGAATGAAGACTTCCTGAGAATTTTGCTTCATATTATTTTCAAGTTGTGTATAACTTGCATTATTTTATACATTCATGTGACATGGATGTTTTTCATGTCAGTGTAGGCTGATCGAATTTACTAGCATTGAAAAATGTTTTTGATGAGATCGGTGGTGCTTTTACATTATTTTTGGACAATGAACCATTTTTACTTTTGTTTAGTTTATGTTCCTTGTTAGAACATATCACTGCCAGGTTTACGGTGTACTTTCCCTACGTACTTGTTTCTTGTCCCTGTACAAATGGAAGCCCCACTGGTTTATAAGCTTTGCTGGAAGTGTCTTTGTCTATTTTGTTCATTGCTGCATCTCCTGACCCTGAGCAATGCCTGCCTTCTCATAAGTCCTCAGTCACTATTGAATAAGTGAATTATAGCCTCGTTTGTCCTAAAATAAATGTAAATAGTAGGAAAAGATATCTTTATGCATGCATACACATAAAGAGAAAAAAAAAACTCTAATGTGTCAGAATGCGATATTAATAACCTTATAGGCCTCCACTTAAGATATAAAATTCTGGGGGCTCCTGGGTGGCTCAGTCGGTCAAGTGTCCAACTTCAGCTCAGGTCATGATCTCACGGTTCGTGGGTTTGAGCCTCGTGTCAGGCTCTGTGCTGACAGCTCAGAGTCTGGAGCCTGCTTTGGATTCTGTGTCTCCCTCTCTGCCCCTCCCTCGCTCTCTCTGTCTCTCTCTTTCTCTCTCTCTCAAAAATAAATAAACGTTAAAAATTAATATATATATATATAATTCTAGCAATAAACATTTGTATATTTGATATTGTAAACCTTTAAAATGTAGACTAAGATAATACAGATTTCATTTTACTATCTGCCCATACCTTTGCCCTTTGATAGTTTCTGGATACCAGACAATACTCTACTAGACATGATTAATGTCCTATAGGTATTATGGTGAAGTTTGCTATAGAAGAAATTTTGGTTAAGTGTGTATCTCTACTCTCATTGATTTTCTTCATGAAATTTAAGGTGGCGTATTTTGGGGGTGTGGAAAAAAACTATCTCTTGAACAAAATACAACCACAATTTAAAATTTAGAAACGTTAGTTTTTCACATAATTTTGTTATACTATCTGGCACAATGTCAGAAATAATCTTTAAAATATTAACTATACTATTCTTATATAAAATGAGTTAAGGGATATAAAAAGAAGTCTTTATGAGCTTTCCTCTTGTGGTGTCAGTGCATCTAGTGTTTTGGTCATAGAATCCCACTGTATTGAAGTAACATAAAATGGAGGACAGGTGCGTTGGGGTTGCTGGGCCTAAAGAGAGCACTCAACACTGAGATCGAATAAAATTGCACTGGCTTCTCCCATTTCTTTGGAGTCTTCTTGCTTCAGTAACTGGCTTGAGGGGATAACGTTATTGCCACACTAACTTTAGATCAAGAGAAAGTTAAAATATCCGTGGCCCTATAATACCCATCTTTGTGTATTATTTTGCTGAGATAGTATTTGCTGCATGACAGGAGTTTAGCCCAAAACTGAAAAAGGTGATTCTAAAGATTGGCTCATGTCACTGTGGCACGAGTAAGAGGATCATTGGTCAGGCAGCAAGAGTTGGAGAGGACAGGAGATGTCCATTCATCATCACTTTAACCATACCATTCAGTGGACTTTCTCTTGCATATGGAGCCAGTGTTTCCTTATCCAAAACAATTTTTAAGAGGAGTGAGTGCAGAAACTGGGTGAATGAAGAAGGTTGGAGACCCACTGATCCTCTAAGACTAATGGTTACCATTCTTGTGAGTTAATTTGCCATGATTTATGTGTTGTAAAGTATTGACATGATATAGAGGATAGCTCTATTAAATGAAGGTATTAATTCTTAAAATAATCTGCACAAATAATTGACATAAACACATATATGCTTTTACATATATATACATATATGTCAGTTGTACATATATAATTGCGCAGACACACACACACACACACACACATCTTCTAAGCCTCTTAGCAACTATTTGTATGAGGATTGATTCTAAATATAACACCAGGTTGGTGATTACAACAATAAGATATAATTTCCCAGCATTAAAATGTTTCAAGTTTTGTCTTTTATATCTATGTATATACTGTTAACTGCTTTTTAAATGCCCATTTTATGTACAAAAAAAAAGCATCTCCATCCTCTTTAAGACCATCTCTATGAAAATTCAATCGAGAGTCTATGTACATACTGAAAATAATAGCTACCATTAATTCTTGTGTACATGGACTGATAATCACACAGTATTCTTCCTGCCCAAACTATTTCCAAGCAGTGGAAAACTGTAATTATCATGTTTCTAGTAGAGCCAGGCTGAATGAATTAAGACAATGATTTCTGACCTCTGTGATTGCTATTTATTATGCAGGATTATCAAGAGGAAATTGCTGTTGCCCAAGAGAACAAAATACAGCTCCAGCAAATGGGAGAACGACTTGCTCGAGCCAGCCATGAAAGCAAAGCCTCTGAGATTGAATACAAGCTTGGAAAGGTCAACGACCGGTGGCAGCATCTCCTGGATCTCATGGCAGCCAGGTACAAAGGATTCTGGTCAATAGGACAGTGTATGCAGAATTTTAAAGCATTTGGTCCACCTTTCATTACAGTGAATCTTCCTCTGTGTTCTTTCTCCCCACCGTTTTTAGGCTTTTCTCATAAATGTCACTTTCATGAACTTTGAAATTCTCCTTCGTATGTAATCAATTCAGTGGTGTTGCCACTTAGCTTAAAGTCATATCAAACAAAACCCATTCTCAAAAGGAAGATTCTGTATTTCAGAGCTTCATGGGTATTTAACCTTCTATGAGGAAGGAAGTAGAACTGCTGGCTAGTATCCATGGAGGGTATTTTTGTCTGCAATAGGAAAAAAAGTTATATATATATATATATATATATATATATATATATATATTTATATATGTACATATGTGTGTACATATTTATATTTGTATAAATTTATATTTATATAAATTATATATTTATATATTTATATATGTACATATATACATATATGTATATATACTTATATATATATACTTATATATGCTTATATATAGGTACTTATATATGCTTATATACACACACACATTCCTACTATATTTCCAATTAGCAAAATGTGGGAATAAAGCTAATTATTGCTACTCTGCTTAGCTGTAGAAATAATCTGCTGCATTGTTATAATATTGTGTTAGGTTTAATAACTGTAAGTGTCTGCCTTGTATCTGGGAGGAATAGTCAGTTGCTGCTGGAGAAGGGCAGGGCGAAGAAAAGAGATAAAAGTAAAGAAATTAAAATATATAAGGGTCTTTATTAATAATATAAAAGTCTGATATAATTAATGAGGCACTGGGCTATTTGTTACAAAGGGAATGACTAAAGTAAATGCTTTATTTGAGGTGAACTTGGCTTCATGTTGGATGTAGGTTCCATGAGGGCAGGCATCTCTGACCATTCTATCCACTGTATGTCATGACGAAGAACAGTGCCTCAATTTGGGCTCAATAAATATTTGAATGAACGAGTACTTGAATATTTGAATGGGTATTATTTTTTATGGCAGTTAGGAGGAGATTTAGACTATTACAAATGCTTCTGATTCACAGCCATTTTGGATGTAACCAACAATACACTTTTTAAAATCTGGGTTCTTTTCCTTAGCCATGCTGCATGAATTTAGACCTGAAATAGTGCCTTTTGAATACTGTGTGCCCACAAAAATTGCATATGGTCATGGCAATTCCATATGTTGATTGTGGAAATAACTAGCATATTGTTTTCTACAGAGGGAGTTATCCAAGAGAAGCTAATTTACAAAGATGAGATTATAATTTATGCTAGCAATAATGAAACAAAAATGGAATCAATGTTTATCAGTTTTCAAAATGTTTAACAACAGCACTGTGATGGCTAACATTTATTGAACCCTTAATTTGTGCCAGCGACCATGCTATAGGCTTCATACATGTCTTCTCATGTTTTGTTCACCGCACCTTTGAGCTGGGCATTATTATTGTACCCATTTTCCTGATACAGAGGCTGAGGCTCAGGCTTGTCCATGGCCCCTCACATGCTAAGTGGCCTAGCCTGCACTCTCTGATTCTACAGCCCATGCTCTGGAGACTATATTATGCTGTCTGCCAAACTTATGACTTCCTTGTCCCTGCTCTCAAGAATGCAATTACAAGGAAATTAGATTCTGTTATTTATTTCAACAATCTAGTTTCCCAATCCTTTGTAAAGTGCTGACATCAGTTCTGAGACATTTTGAGGCTACAAAGACAGAGGTTCCTTTCCTTGAGAAGTTCATGGTGGGCAGAGAGACATGCAAAAAGAAATCAAGTAAAGTGATGGGCTAAATGCCCGGGTAAAGGTACTACAAAGAAATGGAAATGTACGGTTCAGCTCACCTACTCCAAGTATTCCAGCGTATGTAGGTTTTAGAACCCCACTGCTATGTTTAGCCTCACTTCTCAGTCCGTGATAACCAAATCTTATTTCAGAAGGACAAACTGAAGCTCTTTATTCTATAAATACCCTTCTTAGGGAAGCCGCCCAGTTGGTAAACATCCCTGGATTTTTTTGGTCAGATTATGACTCATGGGTTAGCTTACATTGCCATGTAATCCAGTTAAACTAGTTAATGTTCTTTTCTAATCTTTAGTGGCTCAGTGGTATGGAATACGGGGGATACACTATGTTAAAGATGTTTTAGATGGAATCTAATATAAGTTAATCATAAGCAGCTAGTTTAGTGTATGAACTAAATTTACATTACATCAAATGAGGTAGGTGATTTCTCCTCAAAGTCATGTTTATGTATAACTTTTCTGTTGTTCAAGTGAGGATTTTCTAGGTGTTATTTATTTTTCCAAAGATACACTAGTAAACTTGAATCAATCAAATATTTATAAAATATACATGCTTTATACTACAGTCACTAAGACACTCATATGTTTCTACGGTTGTAGAGTCTTACCATACACAGATGCAGTTCCTACAGGAGATTCTGTCAATATGCTGTCCATTTCTTTTTGCCTTCTTCTGACGTGTACCAGCTGATGTGCTCACCATTCATTTGCTCTAGAGTTTAGTGCCACACTGGATTCATAGTCTCCTTGAAGCCTCTCCTAAATGACACTTGGCCGTCACATTTACTTTCCATTTCCTTGTTTATCAGAGCCTCGGGAGTACACAGACCAGCTGACCGTTCCCCACACCCATCTTCAACTATGACCTACCCGCTCAAATATCAAGTTTCTATGGTTCAGTCTCATTCACCACTCTTCCCTCTTCCAACTTTGTTTTCCTTCCACACTGATTCATTAATGCAGAACACAACTTAGTTGAGCCTTTTGATATTTCTGTGCTGTTTTGGTGTTCTTGTGGGAATGGAGAGGTTATTTCTGAAGATTATACTTTCAGGTGCATAGCTTTCCTGCTAACAGAAACAGGAAAAAGAAAAGAAAGAAGATGCACTGCTAATAAACCTGTTGCATGCGAATAGAATGTATAACTTTGAGTCAACTTCCTATCACTAGTGGATTAGCTTAAACCATTCTGTCTAACACAAAATAAATGTGTTTTGCATTGAATTTTTAAACTGTCACTAAGAGTTGTCAGCTTTTTAGGGCAACAAAATTTGCTTAGTTATTTTTAGGTCTTAGGGGATAATGCTCTAGTATCCTGACCATAGTTTCTAGACCTGCTTAGTTTAATGTAGCAGACACTAGCGACCCGTGGGTCTTTAAGTTAACTTAAATGGGATATAATCAAGCTATGGTTTAATTGTAATTATAGTCAGTTGTGCTAGTCGTATTTCCAAGGCCCATTTGCCATATGAAGATAATGGCTACCTTATTGGGAATTGCAGATACAGAACATTTTCTTCATCCCAGAAAGTTCAGTTGCTCAACACCAGCCATGACAATTGGCCAAAGCATTTCTGAGCCCTTGGCTTTCATTAAGAGTCAACATAAGAGGGGCACCTGAGTGGCTCAGTCACTTGAGCATCCGACTGTTGATTTTGGCTCACGTCATGATCTCATGGTTCGTGGGATCAAGCCCCTCCGTACTGACAGCGTGGAGCCTCCTTGGGATTCTCTCTCCTTCTCTCTCTGTCCCTCCCCCTCTCACATGCTCTTTCAAAATAAGCGAATAAACTTTAAGAAAAAAGAGTCAGCACAAGAAACAGTCATTGATGTAATTTCTTTAAAACTGTCTGCTGGGAATCTGGCTCTCATTTTGTCAATGAACTGCGAAAAAATCCACATAGCAGTTGTTCTAGAGTTCAGCACTAACAGGAAATCTGTCTCTTAGCATTAGTTGTTCAGTGCTTTTTATAAGAGACAATGCATTATTGAACTTTCCCCATTTTGGTATCTAGGAAGTTCAGACTTAATTGTGTGCTCTGTTGTAATGATGTTTGTTGTTTGTTTGTTTGTTTTTCTCATTAAATCTACTCTCTAATGTAAGGATATTGCTCTTCCCTCTATCAAACCTAAATCCCCATCACCAAAACCAAAGCACACTTTAGTTAATTGGGTCTTTTATTCTTTTCAATAACATCTTCATTGAGCTCTAACTCACGTAGCATACAACTCATCTATCACAAGTATACAGTTTAGTGATTTTTTTAGCACATTTAGAGACCTCTGCATCCATCATCACGGTTAATTTTAAAACATTTTCATCACCCCCAAATAAAAGCCTTAATCGCCTTCTTCCTCTCTACCCTCCCTCCTTCCGTGGCCCCAGCAACCACTAAGTCACTATCTGCCTCCACAGGTTTACCTGTTCTGGACAGTTCGTATACATGGAATCATGCAATCTGTGGTCCTTGGTCACTGGTTGCTTTTAAGTTTGCTTGGCAAACTTTCTGCACAAGACTATCTAGTAAATATTTTTAGCTTTGAGGGCCAAACGGTCCCTGCCGAAACCCCTCTGCCATATCATAAAAGCAGCCTTACGCAGTGTGGAAACTGAAAAATAGAGCTGGGTTCCAATAGCATTTTATTACCCAAACAGGTGTCTAGCCTAGCCATAGTTTGCCGACACCAGCTCTAGGGACGTAAAAATGAGAAGAACGTGGTGCCTACCCAAGTAAGAGTAGAAAGCAGGTATACATGACTCCTCACCACAGGCCTTCCTTCTATCTTCCCGCCCGCTCTCTTACCCCCATCTGGCCTGGCCGCTCCTAATTGTTCTTCATGTTCTTCCTGTTCTTTGGATTAGGTGAGATTCTTCTTACCCTGTCAGCACGCTTTCTGTACTGTGCTTAACAGAATTTCCCTCTACTATAATCAATATCTCGTGTGATCAGTTGTTTGCAATTCCTTTTCTCTCTTAAGATGTAAGTGTGTCCATAGCAAAGCCGGAACCTAATATTGTTCTTTGCACATAATGGTCACTCCAGTAATTGTTCAGTATCTCTAGTCTAAGACATAGTATGGCAAGTGCCATACATGCAGATAGGAATAAAGCAGAGCATGGGCTTAAGGCCTTCACTGCTTGAAATGTTTCTGCTTCAGCTATGCTGAAATGTTAGGCAAGTTACTTATCTTCTGACTACCTCAGTTACCACATGTGTAAAAATGTACTCGGAGCATTACATGAGACAGTACCTTAGCACTGCCAAGTGCTCAGGGAACGACGCTTTCTCAGCCCAGAGGGAGTTTAGAGGCTGTGTAGGTAAAGCGCACATGCAGTGCAGGGAAGGCTTGGTCAAGTTACGACAGCTGCCCCCAGAAGGAATTTGGAGCTCCACCCACACTCGAGGAAAAAGAAAACTTGATTCTTGGAATCTATGGCTGGCTTTATCTCAAGGTGGCCAATTTGGAAAACTCTGGCCAGGATCAGGAATGTATGGAGGCAGCAAGCACGGATACAATGCAGAACTAATCAAGAGGCCCGAGTCTAGTCCTCCTCGTTCTGCCTGTGTGACCCAGGGCTCGCTGCAGAAGCTTTCTGAGCCCTAGACTCCTCATCTGCAAAATATTCATAAGAATAACTGCCATAGCTCCAAAGAGACAATGCCAGAGAAGGACCGTGAATACTCTAAAATGCCACATATGCCAGTCTCGTTCTTTTAGATAGCTACAGAGTATTCCATAATCTAATCTAATCTAATCTAATCTAATCTAATCTAATCTAATGTAACATAACATAATATAATATAACATACTGTGTATAATATATAATATATATAATAATATATATAATATATAATATACTATGGTTTGTCCAATATTTTCCCCACTGATGGGCATTGATATTGTTATCATTGTTTGCTATGACAGTAATTGTGTCTTTAAAGCCTTGCTTTATATTTCATTTGTTGGCACAAATATATTGTCCTAATGATAACGAGCATGGGGAAAAAATTTTAACCCATGAGGAGAACTAAATAAGGTAAAAAGGAATTGAACTAGGAAAATAATGGCAGTAAAAGTTTTCAAAGATCCCAAGTTTTCAGGAATGTTAGTCATAATCAAGAAAAAATAAATTTCCCTAGTGTTATGGAATCATAGCCTACATATCTCTTTAACCAAAGCTTAGATGTTTATATTCCTGATTGTTGAAAATAATAAATTATAAGAGTGATTGTTTTAAAAAGAATTCACAGTAAGATATCTTTATTTTTTAAAAATCTTTATGAATATAATATATTGTCAAATTGGTTTACATACAACACCCAGTGCTCATCCCAACAAGTGCCTTCCTCAATACCTATCACCCATTTTGTCTTTAAATAGCAGGATTTGAAAAGTAATTTTATTAAAACTAAGTTTTCTGGACTGTATTTCTTATGTAAAATATAAGCTTGCTTCTTTTAAAAATAAAATGTTTCTGTTTTAAAAGCAATTATCTCACATAACCAGAACCAAATGCTTTCTTTTATTTTGCAGTTCATCATATAGGCCTTTTAAAAAGAACTTAGAAAATGTTCATTATTATTTTTGTATTTATATGTGTGTGTATATATATCTTGATCCAAAAAGGTTTTAAAGCAGCCAGCATTCACCACATTTTTTTAAATTACCAGTAATTAATAATTTGAGAGGCTATTTTCTTTAAAAGCTTAAATTATGAAATTACTATAGATGCAGCGCAGAAAATTTGAAACTCTTGAAATTCACAAAATAAATTTATCTGAATCCCACCAAGCCAATGAACGGATGCTTTTTTTTATTATCTTAAAATGAAAATGTTATTTGCGTCGCTGTACATCATTATTTTTAAAAGGACGAAGGTTTTGAATATTAGGGGAGGAATAATATTTCTTCAGGTACTCTTTTGCTTAAACAGTCTACTCAAAAGTGAAGACCAACTCCTTTTCTACTGAGTATCTTTTCCACCCCACCTTCCCAAACAACCCCTAAAACTCCTACTTACACCAGGTAGCTCGCATTTCAAACAGCAGACAAAAAGAAGTTGCTCTTTTTTGCTACTACAATGGGCCGCACTTGTGGAGGTTTTGTTTGTTTGCATTTGGGCGATTTATCTTTTTCGAATATCCTTTCCAACTTAGCAAACAGCCCACAAGAAGAGTTGACTGTTCTTCCAGAATGGCAGTGTCTGCAGGCCAGCCTTATTTTTGATATCCTTCTTTCTTTAGAAAGCCTCCCCCTCCTTTGCAGATTACACTGAGCCTTTTCCCCTTCTTACACTCGTGGCCTACATTCCAGGAGATCAGGCCTGGCACATGTTAATGAATGTAGGTTTTATTTAGAAACATGACCACTTGTCACTGCTCAGTGTCATATTATCAGGCAGAGACCTACCAACATTTGTTTAGAGTGAGCATTTTCATACTTCCATACGCAGACGAGGGGAAGCTTTCATCCCCACGCAGGATTTAGCCTTTTGCTCTGCAGACCTAACTTTTGCAAGTTGGAAGCTTCATGGTGGTGGCGGAAGATCTGTGTGCCCTGAGGATGGCAGAGGACGGCTGTGTGGACTCAGATCTCCCAGAATGTAACTGCGATGTCACAAGGCAGGCATCTCCTTGAGTTTCTTCCATTGTGCATAGCTTTCGTGTTACGTGGGGTTCGTAGGATAGATGCTGGATCTTTAATCCATAATTGTTTTTGCCAGTGTTAAGTGGAGATGATTTGGTGTTAGGAGCTCGTTGGCCGTGGACTCCCAAGAGTTATTTGTCGGTTTGTTTTCTTGTTCCCCCTACTGGGCATGTGGAGCCGGAGGGAAAGGTTAATGAACTTGGTTATGGCTTGGTATTCCAGTTGTCTCTGGACCGTATGCGTCATACGAGGGGTATGGCCATGGCAGAGAGGCTGAGACACAGGAAAGAGATTCAGAAGGAGACCCAGTAAGATGATCCAGTTGGTCTATCATCTGCTATTTAAAGGATGGGCTCCTGATGAAACTGAAGTTCAGTCTTAGCCAGTTCCCAGCTTTGTGGCTGAAAGCTTTCCCTTTATTAAATAAAGATCTCATATTGCAGGGGCCCAGAGGGTTTTGTGTATGAGAAAAGCCGTTTCTGTATAGGCTTGCCAGTAAGTTTTGGTCACTGACTAGTATAAAGGTTTTAAAACATACGCCAAATGTAAAAATGTATGTCGAAAATAGTAATTCTGTGTATTATGCAAATATTTATTTCATGATATTTTTCTGTTAGAATAATGTTGTATCAGGAATTTTAGCTTCATTAAAAAAAACACTATTCTTGTACCATAACATCCTCCAAATAAATTCCTATTAACGAATAGGATTTACTAATGGTGCTTTTGGTTCTATTATATTTAGAATATGAAATTTTGTTTTTGCTTTTGTTGATGGGTCTACTAAACTAGTATGAAGGAAGATAGTGATAAATATATACATGTAATGTGTATATGTGTACATAGATATTCGTGCAACAGTGTTCAGAAGCTGGACAACTGGTTTCAGTAGTAGAATCCTTCTCAAAAAGGGTGAAGTCCTGTGAGGCACACTGGACTGTGCAAAGAGACCCATCAGCTGCAGGGATTTACAGATTTACAAGACTTTTGCTAAACAACTTACCCAGACTTGTGACATCGGCAAACATCCATTTTGAATTATAATCCTGGATGCTACCAAAAGGAATGTTGCTCAAACTTCTTACAGTGATAGATGAATAGAAATATTGTGACACTTTACCCAAGGATTTCCTTTAAAGAAATAATGGAAAAAAGATGGGACATTTCTTAACAAAGAATGACTCATGTCCTGCAAATATCGCGTCTCGTAAGGTCAAGGAAGATGTATGGGGGCTTTACTACCCACTTCCTCTCAGCTCACATCTGCTCCCCCCAACACACACACAATGCATCTTGCTGTTTGTAGTCAAATGCATGTTTTAAAAAATGAGAAAGCAAAACTACTTAAATGCTCACCCCCATTGACTTTACTAAGATTTACACATTCATTTGAAAGAGGAACTTGTCCCTAATGGACTATATGAACAAGCATTTCCATGTCACGATGCCCTTGACATATTGCACACTAACTGCTCTGTGGGAACTCATTCAATATTATACAAGATTACTAATTTTGTAAATTATTTGACTAGTGTAGACAATATCTGGGAGAACAGTATTTACTCGCATTCTTTTGTGCCTTAGATCTTTTGATAATTTTGGTAAATGAATTTTGAACCAAGGGGATGAATGAATTTTAATGCTTGACAGACCATTCGCAAACGTTGGACTTAGAGGGAAGATTTAAGTATGCGTTTAATATCAATGAAATTAAAAATAAACTGTGCTAACTCAATAAAAGTCTTTTACTTAGGTAGAATACTAATTATTAACGCTTATCAGGCATTTAGGTAGTGCCCAACTTTGTGCCAAGCACTGAGTTTAATACGGCAGGGGAAGGGGAAAACCAAAAGTAGAAATTCACAGTTCCAGCTTTCCAAGGAACTTAACATGGGGAGAGGAACTTGTGTATAAATAATACCAGGGAGTTAAAATAAGGGAAAGAAGGAAGCAAGCACTGAATGAGGTGTTCTTCCAGTCTCCAGCTCCACACGAAACCCTGATGATATTATGAGGTTGCTATAAAGCATGTGTCCCAAAGCATCGTCCGCATTCAGATGCTACTAAATCTGAAGACAGGAAGCTGGTCAGGTGGGAGAGGTTCCCGAAAGGACTTTCTTCCAGAGATAAAACTGGGACAGACATCTCAGTGCAGTCTCCTTGTGTTTATTGACTGTAGACCGTCCTTTCAACCTGGGCCACGGAAGCAGGATGGCCAGGGCCGTGTTAAATTCCAAGCCCGTGCCATGGCCATTGGTAACGTGCACCTACAGCTTTGTATCCAATAGCTATTCTAAAACTGTTATTCACTGGCTGACAGTCAAGTGAGTTTTGTCTTATATGTGAGAAAATGTGAGTAGGTTGTACGTAAACATTCTTGGAATTATTATTGAAGGTCAATACCTTGGACTTCCCTGGGAACAGGGTACAATTTGTATTTACAAAAATAACTAGAGAAGTCTTAGCTTGAATAGAATTATGAGTCATGATAAACAGAGAGCAACACATGTTTTCTGTTTCCTATCAATAGAATATATTGTGGAGTATGAACATAATTTTTAAATACATATTTTTTCCATGCAATGTAGGTAATGTACCTAAGAGTACCTTTACAAACTGAAAATATTTTTCAAATATAGGTATTGTAATAATTAATGAAATATAGGTATTATTATTAATAATTGGCCATAGTGAAAATCCTTTTAAAAGCATTTGTGTGACAAAGAGAAAAGTGATTACATCATGACTAGATTTTTATTTGAGAGAGAAACATTGGTTTGTAAACATTCTATTTATAATGGAAGTGGTGATATCAGTTTTAAGTAATTAAAAATAAAGGAAAATGCTGGGACGCCTGGGTGGCTCAGTCGGTTGGCCATCTGACTTCGGCTCAGGTTATGATCTCGCGGTTCATGAGTTTAAGCCCTGCATCAGGCTCTGTGCTGACAGCTCGGAGCCTGGAGCCCGCTTCAGATTCTGTGTCTCCCTCTCTCTCTGCTCCTTCCCCACTCGCACTCTATTTCTCAAAAATAAATAAACATTAAAAAAAAAATTTAAAGAGGAAGGAAGGAAGGAAGGAAAGAAGGAAAATGCTGCAAAGACTTTGGTTATAAGACATTTTCTTCAGAGCATGGCTCTTGACCAGAGCAGCTTCTCAGAGTCCTCCAAGGAGGAGTTTGGAGGAGGTGGGAAGAGAGTTGGCCGGTGGCCTCTGTGCTTTGAAAGCACCCCTAAGTGATCCTGGAACAGCCCCTCGCTTGAGAAGCCCCTCTCTGCTGTCTGAGAGTAACAGAGCTGAGAAATACTTGATGTCTCAGGGTGTGAGTCCTCCGTCTCTGAGAACATTCTTTATCGATTCCTGCCTTGGAATATGTCACCTCCCTGGAGTTCTGCAAAGTCCTGTTGCCAATACCTCTTCAGTTGAGCCAAGTTGGCACCTCGGACATTGATGTATTTTGCTCATCTGCATTCGTCTATGTTATAAGCAGCGGCAATAAGGTGACCCCGTTTCCTGAGCTTCGGGGAGCACTCATGGCCTGAAAGCAGAAGTGAATTTTATTTTTTTTAATGTTTATTTATTTATTTATGAGAGGGGTGGGGCAGAGAGAGAGGGAGAGAGAACATCCCAAGCAGACTCCGCACTGTTGGTGCAGAGCCCGACGCAGGACTCACACCCACAAACTGGGAGATCATGACCTGAGCCGACCTCAAGAGTTGGATGTTTGACTGACTGAGTCCCACAGGCGCCCCAGCAGTGACTTTCAAATATGGGCTGAACCTGAAATCACTGACCGTGTGCTTTTCACCCCCGTCAACCTTGTTCTTTAGAGCAATCTGGATACTCAGCCGTGTCAGGCCCGCACCAGGGTCTCATTAATGGATTTTTGCTGCTAGCTATTACTTGATAATAATAGAGCTGAGAAATATTGCCTGTGGCCCTCCCAAACTCCTGCTTACAGCCTGACTCAGTAGGAAAACACCTTCAAGAGAACCCCTGCCCTTGTGTCCTTGACCACCTGCTCTGCATCCTTGTGCCATCAAGTGCTTTCATCTGTCATTTCTCTCCTCCTTTTTCCTTCGGTCATTGGCTTCTTTCTCACAAGTTCCTTATTCTCTGCTTAAAAACATTCCAGAGTTATCCCAAATATTAAACTGCATTAAACAAAACAAACAAATCAATGTTTCCTTGTAGCCAGATCATTCTACAGGTTTCATACCATATTTACTCACCTTTACTGCCTGGTTAAAAAAAAAAAAAAAAAACATTACCAATACTCCTTTACCATAACTGTATTTCTTAAGCCAAATGCATTGTGTTTAGGTATTTTTAGGTCTCATTATACTATCCTGCTGTGCGTTTGACAGAGGATACCATCGGTCCCCGAACTTTAGTGTATCTAAGACTCCCCTGGAGTGCTTGTGAAAAGTGCCAGTTCCCCGGCCACACCCCCAGAGGTTCTAATTCGGGAGAAGTGGATTGGAATCTAGCCAGGAGTCTGCATTTATCCATTTATCTGAGGCCAACCAAGTGAATCTAATCAAGGGGGCATTCAGATC